GAGATGGCTCCGTCGAAGTGAGGCTTGGGGTCGGATGGCCTCGGCTCGGCCGCAGCTCCCTGTGTGTCGTCTGCCTTGGCTGCGCGGTGCGGTGGCTGGGAGTGGGGCGGGTGCGGTGGCTGGGAGTGGGGCGCCTTCCTTCCTGCGCTCCTGTGGAGAGTGTGGCCGTGCCGACCGGTATGTTGGGAGCCCAGTGACTTGTTTCTTAAGCCGGGCATCCTCGTGAGCCACGTGTTGTTGAGATGCTAGACCAGGGGTCGGAGGCGTGGCCCACGCCAGTCCAGCCGGGAGTGTGGCCCTGTTGGTGGCGCTTCTCAGGCCCACGGTCACGCAGTCACATGGTGCCATGCTGAGGCGTTTGACTTGGACCAGACATAGTGCTGTTTCCTCCCATCTTAGTGGGAGTCAGGAGCCAGGCAGGGCCTCGGGGGTTCCAGCCTCCTGCGCCTCTTTGCCGGTGTCCTCAGGGTTTCTGCGATCAGCTCCTTCACTTGCGGAAGGAAGGTGTTGGGGACTACTATAAAACTGCGATGGGTTTATCCTCGTAGAACTTGGGGCACAGAGACCGGCCCAGGCAAGTGTGGGTGGCACCTGCCTGAGGATCACAGGGACTCCAGCTGGTGCCTGCCCTGGAGCACGTGACGGCGACTGGGCACACGTGTCGTGGGCACGGTGCAGCCGGCTAAGCCTTCGTCGGATTAAAGTTGCCAGTTGGATTTAAAGGCCTTAAAAATGGTTTAAACACACAGCAGCAGCAGAACACACAGGAGAAGATGCCCCTGGGCTCGGCCAGTCTCTCCTGTGCCTGTGTCTCGTGGCCTGGCTCCTGTTCACTCAGCTTGAGATGAAACCGCGGCCGCTGCCATACTGGGCGCAGAGGAGCTCCCATTGCCTGGTGGCACTGAAGCTCACAGCCATCCACGGGGCCAGAACCTCATGGCATCACGCAGGGAGACAGGACAGAGGCAGGGAGAGTGGGCATGGGTGGCCCTGGCTTGCCGCACAGCCCCGGAAGAAGCAAAGGGACAGGCTGTGGATGTGGCCCCTTGCCCGTCCTGTTCAATTCCTGGCTCTACCATCTGGATCCAGGGGCTGAGTCCTCAACACACAGGGTGAACAGCCATGTCCTTGCCCACCGTGCCCCACTCACCGTCATGCCTGTGGCTGAGATTTAAAGGTTAGGGATCAACCTTTATCTAAAATTACTTTTGTAGAAAGTAACATTTCATCGTTGAAAAAGTAGCGCATATGCACACGTTGCAGAATAGGCAAATTCGCACCATTGGGAGATAAAAGCCAGGCCCTGCCCCTAGAGCCGCCCGAGCGCGCCGTGTGGGCACCATCTCTGGACCACACGTGTTCTTGCCCAGGCCTGCTGCCCGTGCTGATCACTAACTGGGGCAGGGCGTCTCAGGAAAGGCCCTTGCCTTAGCTAGCAGCATCTTCAGGAGCCCTTGCTGCTCTGTGTCCGAGCAGGGTTCGCCGGCCGTGTGTGGCCGCTGTGGGCCGGGCCCGTCTGGATCTCACTGACTCACTGAGGTCCCTGGGCCGCCGTCTTGGGCTTGCGCTGCTCGCCACCCGGGAAGCTCGGCCACTGCCGTTTTCTGTTTGGTAGACAGCAATCGGCAGCTTCCCTGGCCACTCAGGGAGTGACTCCTCTCATCAGAGCTGTCTGCTGTCAGGGCTAATGTTTAAGTTGTTTCTGGAACTTTCACATCAGAGTGTGTGACTTGATCACCTTGGGCCTGGCTGGGGGTTCCCAGAAGCCGCCTTCCATCACTAGAAGGTTGGCCCCAGGGCCCTCCTTCTCCCCTGCAGGTCTGGCCCCAGCTGCTTCAGGACCACCCTCCCAAGGGGGATGCTGTGCCCAGCAGAGGTCTTTTGTCTGGGTGGACAGTTGGGGTTATGTGGCCCCGTGGGACCCTCCCTCGTTTGGGGTGCTGCTATGTGGGTGTCTGTGTCATGTGCTCCGGGCGCCCTCCTGCTAGGAGACGACGGGGTGGTGTCTGAGCATGTGGGTTGCTATTTCTAAACCTGGCACTTGGAGCTTGGTGGCTGGAGCTATTTAAGGCTCTCGACATGTTCTGTTGGTGGGGCCTGGCGGCAGCATCCTGCTGAGGCGTCCTGCGCATCACTGTCCTCCTCGACAGCTGGGGTGGGAGGCAGCTGAGTGTTTTCAAATGGAAACTTAGGAGTGAGCAGAGAAGGGCTGGGGCCCTGGATGCCACTGTAATCTGGGCATGGCACTCATTCTGACTTGCAGGCACTGTCCTGAGGCTAGGAGGTCCCCAGGGTCCTGCCTCTGGCAGCGTCCCCCTTGGTACCCCACCTGGTGTGTTTTCCGAACCCTGCCTGGGAAGGCCCAAGCCGAGCCCGTGCAGCAGGCTCTCCTGGTTCACTTCTCAGACCCTACTCCCAATGGGAGGTGGCAGTGAATGCCCTCCTGGCTACAGGGCTATCCCTTCCCCTTTGGGCGTGTGGCCGGCCTGTCACGGTCAGGGGCCCTGTGCAGCTGTGGGTAGGACCCGTGGGCAGCCGAGGCCTGGGCACTGTGGTTTTCTGATGTGCTTGTCTGAGGAATAGGCAGATTGTGGAGGCTCTCTTGTGAGATTCCCTAGGTGGGGCCCCCAAACCAGCTGAACCCACCAAGTGCTACGAGTGGCTGTACCTCCTGGGGCAGGACGCCTCTAGGTGAGCAGGACAGCCACTCCTTCGGGCACCATCCCCGGTGGTGGGGCCCTGTGTCCTCGGGAGCCTGTCCTGTGTTGACTTAGGACTGGAGCAGTCCTCTGGGGCTCCCTCCTTTCCAGGTGGGACGGGTAGTTTGGGCAGATGCCGAGGACACAGGCCAGGTGTGGCTGCAGGAGGCCAAGAGAGCCCTCTGGCCCCGCAGCCCAGGTTCCTCAGTGCAGTCGCGTGACCTTGGCACTCTGCGTGTCAGTGTCCCTGGGTAGCGCCACCCCTCAGGGAACCCCTGGCCGTGACTGCTCTTCCCTGTGGCGCTGTTGGTACTTTCCTCACTGCAAACCTCGGCCACACCCCAAGGCCTTGCTGAAGCCCTCAGTCCCAGTAGCTGTGGATCCTTTGGCATTTTCTGCATCACGACCATGCCATGTATGGGGACGGTGGTAGTTCTGTCTCTGGCTTCTCCGTTCTTAGGCCTTTGACATGTTTCTCTTGCCTGGTTACCCTGGCTGGGAGCTCACAAGACAGCAAGAAGCCACACTGCTCCCGGAGTGCACGCCGCATCCATCGTTGGCTGCGCTGCCCGTGGGGGTTTCTGGAGGGTCCTTGTGGGGTGAGCTGACATTGGGAGTGGGTATGGAGTGTGCCGGGAGCCTGCTGCCGTGTCTGTGGAGAGAATCCTGTGGGGTTTGGAGCCCACGTTTCTTATTTGTATCAGCTCCGTGACACTTGCAAAACCAGATCCCATAGACTCTGCATCTTATGGTCGGTGGGTTGCTGAGAGGATCAGAGGGGCCGAGCGTTCTGTGGGCACCGTGCACAGGCTGTCTCCGGTGCTCCTGAGGACCCTTCTCTCAGAGGCCCTGTCTCCCAGGCCACCTTCTCTCGGGGGGAGTGTGGAGCCCCTGGCTGGGGTGGATGGTGTTGGCTGGAGGGTGGGGGCTGCCCAACACGGTACTTGGGGAACTCTGGCCATCGACAGATTTGTCTGTGGTTTTGAATGCCCACCCTCAGGTCCTGGGAGAAGGGAGTTGAGGTGAGCCATTTGCCTTTCCTCAGAACAGCAGAGGGGGGCACAGGGACCAGCGGTGGAAGCATACTCCGGCCCTGCAGCCTGGGTTCCTCAGTGCAGCAGCATGACCTTGGTGCTGTGCGTTTCAGTGTCCATGGGTAGCGCCACCCCCTAGGCCCTCTTGGCTGTGACTGCTCTTCCCTGCTGTGCTGCTGGTACTTTCCTCGCTGCAAACCTCGGCCGGGGGTGTCTGCGGATGCGGACCCTGGATGGCAGTGCCTGGTTTGTTCCAGTTTTGTTCCAGGACGCTGTCTTTGACCGGGACAATTTGTCACCAATATTTAAAAAGGTCTTTGAGTTTTTCTTTAAAATGGATACCTGATGACAAACATGTAGTATAAAGAAGGAAGAGGCCGGGGACAGTGGCTCACACCTGTAATCCTAGCACTTTGGGAGGCAGAGACAGGTGACAGGTGGATCACTTGAGGTCAGGGGTTCGAGACCGGCCTGGCCAACATCATGAGTAAACGCATCTTAGTAAAATTACAAAATTCTCTCGCGCTCGCGGTGGGTGTGCCGGTGTAATTCCAGCTGTCCGGAGGCGTGATGGCAGGAGGAATGCTTGAACGCTGGGAGGGCCGGGAGATTTGCGTATTGGTGCCCTGCCCTCCGAAGCGCTGGGCAACTTGCCCCATGTGGTTTTCGGTCTCCAAATAAAGGGGATGAAAGCTGTGAATGAGAAACAGAGGAGCTGGGGAACCCGGCTCCATGGCGCCCCAATCCTGGTCCCTGTGCTCTGCCGCTTCTCCTGCTGCCGCAGTGCGTGGGTGCATGCACCCCTTGATGGCGTCGCTCCACCAGTGCTCCGCAGGAAGCTGTAATTTCTCCAGCATATTCCGGCGCAGCCTCTTCGATGAAGTTGTGCAAAGTGGCAACATGATTAAGAGTATTGATGAAAAACTCCCAAATGCCACCATACCATTGATGACGAGACTCCCCGCTGAGAAGTCTTAGTGCACTTTGCTCCTCTGCCTTTTTTTTTTTTTTTCTTTTAGAGCGGGGTCAGTGTCTTGCTCTGTGGTTCAATCTGGGATCACTAAGCTTACTCCTGGGCCCTCCAGGCAGTCCTCCGACCACTTCGGCCTCCGGAGCAGCTGGGACCACAGGCACACGCTGCTGCTCCCAGCCCCCTATGTTTTTACAAGTGGGTGTGTGTCTGCCCCTGCTGCTTCCCTGGGCTGTGTTCTGGGGCAGCCTCACGTCACGGCTGCTGAGGTTTTGTTGTCCGGTGCACCCAGCTCTGTAGGGAGTGTGGGCCGTTTTGTGAATGTGAGTAAAGACATTTGTAGATCAGACCGCAGCGGTGGAGTTGCTGATCCAGCTTGATGAACATCTGACACTTGACAGGGGTTGCCAGGCTGCCTACTGCAGACACCGCCGGGAGCAGAACCCAAGTCGGCCTCCACCTGCAGCCGGTACCCGTGGAGGATACAGACGAGGTGTCTGCGATGCGGACCCAGCCGGCGGTGCCTGCCTCGTGGAATGTGCGGCTCTTCGTCAGCAAGGCTGCATTCAGCCTTCTCTTCGTCAGCAAGGCTGCATTCAGCCTTCATTGCTGTGAGCTGTCTGTATGTGCCTTTTCCTGTTTTTCTTTTCGGCTGTTTATTGGTTTGAGAAAGCTGTGTAGGAAGGAAGCAATCTCTTTTGTTAACTGCAGACATCTCCCCCTCGTTGGTAGTTCTTTTGAATTTGTTCATGTTATTTTTTTCTCTGCGGAGGTTTAAAGTTTCTCTGTAGCAAATTCTGTGTTTTCTGTGTGTTTTGTGGCCCCTTTGTGTTCTCTGCAGTGCTTTTGTAGTGCCTTTTTAATGTATTTAGTCCATCAGGACTTTATTTTTGTGTATAGAGTGAGACGGATGATTCCCACTTCATTTTTCCCCAGACGGCCTGTCCCACAGTGCATTTCAGCTTGCATTCACCCAGAAGGCGTGGTGAGGAGAACCTCAGCACCGTGAGATGCTGCTGGCACGTGCTGCTTCATCTCGTGACCTGGGTGGTGGTGGCAGCATCTGAGCGGCTCTGTAGGCCACAGCATCTCCCGGCACCCGAGCCCAAGATGAAGCAGCACGTGCCAGCAGCATTGCGTCTTGTGTTCTGTGCCTGAGCCTCATGCAGATCTTTGTGGGGTGAGAACCATGGCTTGTTGATGTCGTGCACGGAAAAGCCAGTCTCATGCTGATTTTCCTTAGGGTCCGTCAGAACACATGCCCCGTGAACCGCGTCACCCTACAGCCCAACTCTGGTGAGCCTGGTTCTGTGTCTGCTGACCTGGTGAGGGCTGGGAACCAGGTGAGCTGCCTGCAGCACAGGCTTGCTGTGTGGCTGCCACATGTGGCGTCCTCCCCTGTGCCTGGTTTGCTGCATCTGTTCCTGGGACCCCTTTTTCAGATGAGAGAGCGCAGGCAGCACCATGGCAGCTGAGAAGCCGTGTTTCTGGCGGGGCGGCTGGCTTGCCCGGGGTCCCCAGAATTGCACTTCCAGAGCACGTGTCCTGGCTCCTGCATGGCAGCACCTCACCTTCCCTTTTCTTGTCATGGTTTTTAGGCAGCCTGTGCCTGAGTGTGTGCCCATCCCTCTCTCTGTGCGGAGCCATTCAGCTCATGCTGCAGGTTTCTGCTGGGCTGGTCGGCGCTCGGGGACCAAAGCCACCCCCAGGGCTCCGTGGCGAGTCAGCTCAGGGCTGGTTTCTAGTCACTCCCCGAGGGCAGGGCCGAGGCAGGATCTTCCAGAGTCAAGGGTTAGAGAGGCTGTTCCTCGAATGGCCCTCGAGTCCGCCTCAGAGTGCCTCCCACTGGACTGGAGGGGCTGTCCCACACGGGCCGTCCCCACACGCTGCGTGTGAGCCGGGCGCCTCTTTGCAGGTCAGCTCCGTGGCAGCTACATCCTGGGCTCCTGAAGACTCAGGCGAGGGCATGGCTTCTCATCCTCCTCGTCTTCATCTCCACCATCCATCTGTCCTGTGCCTTGCAGTCCAGCTCAGGTACAGGCGCTGTGGCAGCCAGGAGCACCCTGGGTACCACTGGGTGGCCCCAGGACCCAGATCGCAGGAGCCACCCCTTGCCCTGAGGCCTTGTCTTTCACCCTTTGGGCTTGTTCACTGCCAGTAGCAACGGGTGGCCCCAGAGGGTTCCGCCGAGTGTGAGGGGGAGTGGATGGCACCTGCAGCATATTTCCCCACAGGGAGGCCTGGGCTCTGTCTTGGGGGGATCCCGTCTCGGCTTTGGGGGGAATGAGGGTTTGAGCACCTCCTCTAGCCTTGCCTCAGCCACTGGCTGGGGTTCTTTGAGGTTCAGTTTAATGGGGACTTGCCCATCTTCCCTGACACGTTTGAGTCAGGGACTGAGCAGGCCAGAAGGAGTGGCAGTGTCTGAGCCACCCGTGCAGCAGGCGGCCTAGTGTGTGAAGCAGACAGGGCACAGGGCGCGGAGGAAGAAGCCTCTCTGCCCAGAGCGGGAAGCCGAGGTCACAGCCCTTCCAAGGGTGCACCGTTCTGCAGCCTCAGCTCGGCTGGCCGGTCGATTCTGTGAAGTCGCGTTTTACCGTCAGCTCTGCCTTGGTATTCCTGGTGCCCGCTCAGACTGCCAGGCCCCATGTGAGCAGCTCAGGCTGGGATGACGTGCCTCAGGGGTGGCCCCTGCTGCTGTCATTTTGTCACTAATCAGATGTGTTTGGTGACCTTCCCCTCCGCATAGCCACTGGGGCTGTAGTGCTGGCGCTGCTGGGATCTGGGTTTGGGGGCGAGGCCCAGGACAGCGGCGGCTCCAGACACCCTTGCTTGAGGCCCAGCATCTGCACTCCCAGCCCGGCCCTCCTCCGAGCTGGCATTTCTGCTGTACCCACAGGACACTCCTGTGCTTCTGCAGACCTGTGGGAGCTGTGGTGTGCTGGCCTTGTCGTGGGTAAATTTAGAAACCGGAGCAGCTCGAGCTGACTTCACACTGTCCTCTTCACAGGTGGGGGTGCACCCACCTGCCCTGTCCTTGTGGCCCTGGGCCCACGGAGGAGAGAGAAGCGGGACTCACAGGGCGAGCCCCCTCCGTAGCTCGTGAACGCCCGTCAGCCCGTCCAGAGGCTGGAAGGGGAGGAGGCATGAACCTGTGCCAGGGCACTTCAGCAAGGGCGCCTTGGGCCCAGAAAGCAGGGGGAGCTGGGGGTCGTGGGGCCGCCGCCAGCAGTTCCAGGCAGCCTCTGCTCCGGCTGCAGCATTCCAGGCCCTCTCCTCCTGCAGGAGTAGCGTGTTTGGTTCCTGTTTTCCTGGTGCCATGGCAATGGGGCTGGGGAGCTCCCTGGGGCCAGAGCCGGGAAGGGTCACTGTGCTGCGTTCCCGACCCGGCCTGCGCCCGGGCCTCGTTTTCTTCATTCCGACACAACACAGGTCACTGTCCGGGTCAGTTTCCACTGGTCTTAGATTCATTTTTCTTTTGAAACAGTTTCAGAACTACAGAAAAGCTTTAGAATCAGCCCCTCCCCTTTGTGGTCGGGAGTGAGAGGTCGGGGATGCAGTGGAGGAGAGTAGGTCAGCCCAGGCACACCGGGAAGCTGCGGGAGGGGATCAGATCCTGCAGGAAGGAGCCCTGGGCCTTGGACGTTTCACACCAGCTCCCAAAGTGAAGTCTGAAATGCTGAGCACAGTGACTGCCTTTCTCTAGGCAGGGCTGGCTTCTGCTTTGTTTTTCCTTCGACGTGGTGGGTTTGTTGGACAAGCCGGGAAGGTCTGCATGCATTAGAAGAGAAATTGGGAGATGTGTTCTGGGGAGAACGCGGCGGAGGCTGAACCGTCTTGGAAATCAGTTCTGGCCGAGGAAACGGGGATGCCCTTGAGTCCCCTCTATTTTAGAGCAGACTAGAGTCAGAGACACAGCGGCCAGAGCCCTCTCCAGCTGTCCCCACCTGCATGGCCCTGCAGGCTCGTCCCGCCCCTGCCCCGTTCCCCGAGCAAATGAGGCTCCTTTCCCCGCCTGCCGGGCAGGTGCCTGAGCTCCGTGTGGACCAAGCACAGGGGCACCTGTGGAGTTCATTTTTGGGGGCTCCCTGAGAGGGCCGCTTTGTGGGGTCCAGGGATGGAGCCTCTGGTCCACTGAGCACGTCATTGGGCCTGGCAGGGGGCAGGGAGCAGGTACATCGCTGGGCCTCACGTGACCGTGCAGGATCTTGGGGATGTCCCCGTAGGGGCCTCTGCCCTGTTCGTGGCCCCCTTCATGAGCCGTTGGGTGTTCCTGCATGGCTTTGCTGTGGCCTGCCCTGACCGTCATTCGGGGCATGGGTGGGGAGGAGGCCTCCGTGTTGGGACACCTGCTTTCCGGGGCAGGTCAGGAGTAAGTGGCCAGGCCATCGCTGTGGGGGGCCGCTGCTGAGAGAGCCTCCTAAGGCCGGGTTGAGGCTGCAGGTGCCCCTGGTGCTGCCCAGAGCTCTGGAGCCTGAGAGGCTGGCACAGGCCAGACCAGTTGCAGTGACTGCGGTGGCTCCACCATCAGAACCTTCCCCAGCCCTTTCTCAGGTCATGGGGGTGCCACCTGGACACGTTTTCTCACTCCCATGTTCTCTTTCCTCAGGTGCAGAGGCCAAGACCGTTTTGCCCAAGAAGGAGAAAATGAAGCTAAGGCGTGAGCAGTGGTTGCAGAGTAAGTCCATGCCTGCATCTCAAGGCAGCTGCCGGCCCAGGTCCCATCCCATGGGCCCTCCTGTTCCCACAGCCGCACGGTCTGGCCTACACCAGCCACAGTCCCTCCAGGGTCCCCAAGGGGATCTCCCAAGACCCTTTAGAGGCGGCTGTGGGGGTCGAAGGACAGTGGAGGCACAGAGAGGGTGCCATGGAGACTGGGCAGCACAGCCAAACTGGTCTGGCCTGTTACGGGTGGCACTGCCACCCCATCCCTGTGGGTACCTGCAGAGCTGGGCTGCCTCCCTTTGGAGGACGGCCTTGAGAAGCTGCTGCTCTCGGCTCCTGGTTTGTAAAAATTACCTATTTTTGGCCGGGCGCGGTGGCTCAAGCCTGTAATCCCAGCACTTTGGGAGGCCGAGACGGGCGGATCACGAGGTCACAAGATCAAGACCATCCTAGCTAACATGGTGAAACCCCGTCTCTACTAAAAAAATACAAAAAACTAGCCGGGCGAGGTGGCGGGCGCCTGTAGTCCCAGCTACTCGGGAGGCTGAGGCAGGAGAATGGCGCGAACCCGGGAGGCGGAGCTTGCAGTGAGCTGAGATCTGGCCACTGCACTCCAGCCTGGGCGACAGAGCGAGACTCCGTCTCAAAAAAAAAAAAAAAAAAAAATTACCTATTTTTGTTCCCCACTGTGAAATTTTTTGTTATGGAAGTAACCTGTGCTTGTGGAGTCTTTATGGTTCAGAAGTGCCTGCGGTGGTGTGTGAGATCCTTTCAGGCCTTGCCCGCGGTGAAAACCAGTGTCTGCGCATAGCGATGTGGGTGTGGGCAGGGCTCCTGGGGTCCCCAGACCCTTTCAGGCCCATGGCTCCCTCTTTTCTGAGGCTCCACGTAGGAGGTCAGCCTTGCCACGTGCTCGCAGCCGCACGTCTCTGAGGGCTGAAAGCCACACTTCCCACTCAGGTTGTTTTGGATATCTCCTTATTTTTCAGGATGCTGGATATTTGCCAGTGTTGTTCTAAGATTGTTTCTCGTCAAAATTATTTTGTATTTTTTGGGTTTTTTTTGGTGTGTGATTCTGCTGACTTTGTGAAATTAATTTGAAATATTTTCTTTTTTATGTTCTTATACGTTAGTGTATGATCTGCTTTATTTTTTCTTTGGAGGTTATGTTTTTCAGAGGTAGGACCTAGAAAACTTTGTCGGTTTATTTCGTGATTATTAGTTTTATGATTTCTGTCCCTTTTTGGATATTTCTTAGGGAAATGATTCATTCTTCCATTTTCTTTTTCACAGTTCCTAGCATAGCTGTGAAAGTGGATTTGGATGGACTCCTGGACTGTGGCCATTTGGACCCTGATTTTCTAGGCCATAATTCTTTGATGATGTGTAAATTTTATTCCACGGCTCTTGGTCCTTTTTTTTCTTTTTTCACGACTTGAGTCAATTTTGGCCACTCACGAAATGATCGAATTTGTCTGGGAATGGTGCCTTATGCCTGTAATCCCAGCACCTTGGGAGGTTGAGGTGGAAGGATCACCTACGCCCAGGAGTTTCAGACTAGCCTGGGCAACATAGCGAGACCTTGTCTCTACAGAAAATGTAAAAATTAGGCAGATTAGGTGGTGCGTGCCTCTGAGCCTCTAGTCCTAGTGACTTAGGAGGCTGAGGTGGGAGGATCGCGTGAGCCCAGGAGTTTGAGGCTGCAGGGAGCCATAATTGCACTAGTGCACTCCAGCCTGGGCGGCAGAGTGGGTCCCTGTCTCTAAGTAATATTAATAATCAAATTTAGTCAGAGCTCAGTCTTTATGTGTTAGTTGCTTTCTTATTAAGTATTCTATTTTCTTTATCGTTCTTTATTTGTATCCCCCTTTCATTTCTGATTAAGAAGTTATGTCTCTTCCGTTTAATAATTAATGTTTAATGGTCAGTTCTACTCTTTTGTCTTCAAAATTACTTGTTTTTATTTTGATCATTCTCCCATTCTAGCTTTTTTTGGGTTTCAGTTGCTCTGCTCATCTGTTTGTATATGTTTTGTTCAGGAATAAAAGGCTGTAAGTTGTCTCTAAATATAGCTTTAGCTACATTTCCCAAGTTACTTTTACTTTGTATTTTATTATGAAAAATTTTATTTAGGAAAGTGGGAAGAATTTTATAGTGAATACCCTGTACCCACCATACAGATTTTACAATCTTTATTACATAACTGTTCATCTAGCAATTTCTGTCCATGTACCAACATGGGTTTTTTAAAATGCGTTTCAAAGTAAATTGCAGACATCAGTACACTCCACCCCAAATAATTCTGCTAGAATTTATGGTGCTTTTTTTTCTTTTTCTTTTGAAGATTGTATTTACATAAAATGAAATGCAGATCTTAAGTGTGCCATTCAGTGATTTCTGACAAATGTAGACACCTGTGCAGCTGAAATCCCGTTCAGGTTACGGACCGTCACCACCATTCCCTGGCAGTCCCGCGCCCCTCCCAGTCAGTTACCTCTTCCGCCTGCCCTAGAGGTAATAAACACTGTGTCGTCCTTTCTCGTCCACAGTTGAGTTTTTCTTGCCTTAGACTTCATATAAGTGGAATCATGTAGGATGCACTCTTTCTGGGTCTGGCTGCTTTTGCTCAGCGTAATGGTTTTGAAAGCCATCCAGGCTGCGTGTAGCAGCAGTCCATGCCTTTTGATTGCTGAGAAGTATTTCATTGTGTGAATACACCATTGGTTATTCACTTTCCTGCTGATGGGCACCTGGGCTTTTTTCCATTTTTAGCTACTATGAATAAGGCTGCTCTGAACATTCTTCACAAGTCTTTTTGTGGACATGTTTTCGTTTCTCTTGGGTAAATGCTGAGGAATGGAATGCTGGGTCATAGGGTAGGTGTATGTTTAGTTTTATAAGCAGCTGCCAGACGCTTTTCTAGAGCGGTTGTACGTTCACGCTCCCACCAGAAGCCTGTGAGAGTCCGTGCCCTGCAGCTTTGCCAACACGTGGCGCGCCGTCTCCTCAGCCTTGGCCGTCTGGTGACCGTGAAATGGTGTCTCACGGTGGTGCGTGGCGCGCCGTCTCCTCAGCCTTGGCCGTCTGGTGA